ATAAATAAACATTATTTTAACAGTATATTTATTTTTATTCTAAAAACTTAACTATATTATTTTATTTACAATTAATAAAAAAATTTAAAATAACTTAAAAATTTAACTAAATTATTCTATTTAAAATTAATTTTATTTAATTTTATTCATTAAATTTAATTTTAAATACATTTTTATAATCTAAATTTAAAATAATAACTAAATTAATTATTTTAAATTTCATTATAATTTTTTTTAAAATCTATATATTTTAAACTGAAAAACTAAAAAAGAAATTATAAATCTGGAAAAAAAAACTTTAAAATAAAAAAAACAAAAAAAAACAAAAACAAAAAAAGGGACCTTTAACCGATTTCTCAAAGGAATTTTTCAAAATTTTGAAAAAATCCCTTTAAGAAATCGATTACCCAGTAACCGATTTCTCACCTACAAAACTAGATGGTATATTTAGGTAAATATATTTCACTTTGGGTTATTTAAATAAATAAATAAAAAAAATAGTATATTAAAAAAAAAAAGTCGCATGCATGACCCAACTTATTGGAGATAAAACAAAACAAAATTGTATAAGACACATAAAAATGGTGGGACCCAGATCATATTTCACCTAAAATTAAAGAAAAAACAAGTATTCTATCTTTTCAAAATGACCACCCTACAAAAAAAATTTATTATTGTGGGTGACCCAATCCCTAATAAGAAATATAATGAAATTGTCTTTCTTACACTTTTTTTCCACGAATCTCACTACTAAGAGAGAGATTATATTTTAAAATATTTCATATACGTGACGGGACAGAAGAAGTCAGATTTATCTAGATGAAGGCAAGATTAATAATAATATGTATAATGTAATAAAGTAGGTATGGTAAAAAAATCATATGAAAAGAAAAAAGAATACACGAAACGAAATAACTATATTCTAAATGTTAAAATTGTAGCTTAGGATAGAAAGAGTATAAAATTTCATTCGAAAAAAAAAAGTGAATGAGAAATGAAAGAAGACACCTAAATTAAAAGAGAAAAAAAAAAACAAGTTCCAAGACATTTCCATCATTTGATAGGTAGAGGGAATGATTAAAAAAAAACAATGAGATCCACCACATCTTTTATAATACTTCCAGAACCAGAAGAAAGAGTGAAGGAAATATGTTATTATATAATTCTGTAAAGAATACTTATATTATTTTATATATTTACTTGATTTTTTCCTCGCACTTTTAGTTTTTACTTTTTATATAATAAAAAAAATTCTTTCCATTTTTTTTTCTATTAAATTACATACAAAACCACCTCATTTTTCAACTTTGTTATTTTCTTTCCTTTCATTTCTTTCTTAAATCAAAGATACCACGAAAGAGAAGATGGACAAATTAATTTGAAGTTTAAACTTACGAATACTTAATTCTTTTAATTTATTCATCTACAAACATTCATCTGTAAATTTATTAAAGTAGGCTGTAGGCCATTCTTTCAAGTCTCAGTTGGATTAGATTTGATTTGAGTATTTTATGTCATTTTCCCCCTTCCAGTGAGGATTTGGTGGAAGTCGCATCTCAAGCGCAACTCATCCTATAACAATGTAAATCACAGAATTTGTTTTTTCTTCTTAATATGGATTGATTTGTTATTTGGATCTTTTAGGCTGTTTGAATTTGAAGATGGAAAAGGGGAGTGGAAAAGGAGAGATTTAAAGAAAAAGTGAGTGGAAAGTGAGATTGTTTAGATTAAGAGAAAGTGAGTGAAAAATATAGAGAAAGTTTGTGATTGAATTGATTGATGTGATAGATAAAAATAAATTTTTTAATTAATAATTGTGAAAGATTATTATTTTGCCCTTACGTTAAAAAAGTTTATAATTATTATAATTAAAAGATAAATATATAAATTTTAACTAAAAAAATTATAATAAATTAATTTAAAAATAAATTAATTTAAATATTTGGTTTAAATTTAATGATAGATAAAAAATAAAAATTTAAGAGATGAATATATAATTTACACTTTTACCCTTGGATTAAAAATGAGTATAATATTATTTATTGTAATTAATAATAATTACAATAAAATTATATTAATAGGTATAATTTATTAAAAA